TCGCACACTTCATCTGAGACACGCTGTTGCGAAACACTATTAATACAATACGGCGTCCGGATATGAACTCCTGGAAAACAATTTAAACTTGAAAACAATGGATACAACATTTTCCGAGGAATGACGAAGTAGTTTTAAAATTGTGTATTTACTAGGAATTTGACAGAATTCCAACGGAAATAATACTTGAAAAGTACTGTACGCTACGAGTTTTTACAAGAGAACAAAAAGATATAACTTACGAAAAACAATTTAGGTGCTCGCTTCGAAGATCTAAAAACTTGTTGAAAAGAAAGTTGGATCTTTTCTAAAGAATTACCTTTTCCGCAAGTTACTGAACACGTGGACCATGTTCCTGGCAGATACATATACGGAATATCCCGCTCCAGCGGCACCGAAAATTCATACTTTATGGCACTGTCCTGAAAAATTTTACAAATTCACTGAAACCCTCCCAACAAAGTTATTTTGTTGTCTGTAGCCTGAAAAAAATTGCCTAAAAGTAATTATGCAAAACGGAAAAACACACACCCTATTTCCTCGTTGAAAGAGCAGTGCAATAATCAGTTCCTCAGTCGTTGGTCCTTTAGCCGTAAGCTTCTCAAATGGATGATCCAAACTTTTGCGCGTGTCATATTCAAACAAAGTGCCACCAATATCCAGGTCCTTATCCGTCAATTCAATTTGATAGTTCCCATTGAGGAAATAATAGTTCGATGCATTTTTAATTGCTAAACAATTTCTATTAGCGGATATATATTTCAGCATATAGCAGTGAAACATAGGATATACAGTACAGCATCCAGCCAGGTATTATGTGCTATCAGCTGTTTTAGACGAATACCAAAATAGCAACTAACAGATTTTTTTCACTTAATTTTCTGCTCCCTCCGCAAAATCCTCTAGTGAATGTACAATATCCTTTAGTGAATCTATAAATGCGTTGCTGATCAATTTTTCAATAGATCGATGTAACCTACTGTTTCACGAGCTAGTTTTTAAAACCCGCACACCAATTTTTACAGTCTAGTTCACAACTTGCACCTAATTTACAGCCTAAACTATTCTTTACAGCACTTAATTTAGGCTGAAAAAGTGTTCCCGAGTGTTTCGGTAATTTCCAATAGGTTTCCATAGTTACTCGCAATGGTATCGTAGAATCCTTTTCTAGAATGTGCGCCGTAGTTGTATTTCTGTCCAAAACTAAAGCCCTCAGAAAAATGGTAACCAAATCTGAGAAAATCATTATTAACTGTTCACCAATGATTCAAGAAATTTCCTTAAATTTTATATTTTGCATTGATACCGAGTGAATTAGTTGTAGGCCGTATTTCTTCCACTCGAATCGATGTTGCACCAACCGGTAGGCGAATGATATTGTGATAACCAGGTGTTAAATTACGTTCGTCAAAAAATCCCTCGACGGTTTTACATGTTGTTCCATCGCCGCCACAGATACCGCACTTGTCGTCTTTTTTTGCTGAAAAAGGAATGGGAAAAATTTAAAGCAAACAAAAACATGCATTTTCGCAACATCACTTAAAAATGTTCCAGGCCACCGAGACGGAGCTCCGGTGTAACAGAGAACTGGAACCGCTAGGACTTTACTTCTGCAGTGTTTAGGCCGTTAGCACTTCTGTGTCACCTAGAATGTTCGAGTCGAAATTAAAATATGAAAGCTTGATTCTTGAATTTCACAAAAATTTTGAGATTTCATAGAAATCACAGAATATTACTAACCGGATCCGAGTTTTTTATCACATCCGACTGGCAAACAAATCCCTTCCACACAAATATCGTTCTTACGATGATCACATTTCGTGCCATCTACTACCTTAAAATACTTTCTCTATTTGTTAACTGAAAGGGAATGTTTTAAACATTTTGTTGACCTTCAGATCCTAATTTGTTCAAATTCAGACCGGAATCCAGAAACACAGATATCCCTAAAATCCCAAAAATCCTGTGTAATTTGAAAATCACAGAACCTGAGAACTCTCTAGTAGTTCAAAAATTGCTGTCATAGACAAGCCATTACAAGCAGAAAGCTCAGAGTGGACACATGTGGCTGATCTGCATTTAAGTTATTGGTATTGTTCAGTCCATCCTGACAGATTAGCGTGCACAAAGTCAGGCTAAAAAAATGCCGATGCACAAGCTATTTTTAAATAACGGCAATCTTTTCCGATTTTCACCGGTACTTTTTCAAGGCAAGCCTTTCCAGGTCCAGTTCAAATAAATAGCGGCGCACACCAGGCCAGCCGATGCGATCATGAGTTTTGTGCAATTTCGTTCATCGAAAATTTGCCTGCTAATGATTTTTCACTGCCCCGCCGAAACTTTCACAGGGCCATACATGTTACTTGCGGCACGGAAAGGCTGAATTTAAATTTTCTAGGTTACGCGTGGACAAGGAACATACCCATAAAATCTCAGCTTCCTGGATTCCGTGGTTCCCAAGATAATAATTTGTCCGCCAAAACCTTCATGGGGCCGTAGGTGATACCCGAAAGCGCGGGAACGCTGAATTTGAATAGGCAAGGCCGAACATGTGCAGAGGATACTACACAAAAATTTCGCTTCGTATATTCAGTGGTTCCCGAGGTAATAATTTAACCGTTAAAACTTTCAAGGGCCGTAGGTGATACCGGCGGGCAGGAGAAAGCTGAATTTAAATTTTCTGGGTCACGTGTCGGCAGGGGACACGCCCACAAAATTTCAGCTTTCTAGCTTCTGTGGTTCCCGTGATAATAATTTTACCTGCCCAAACTTTTACAGGGCCGTACGTGTTACCCGCGGGTACGGGAAGGATGAATTTAAATTTGCAGGGTCGCACGTGGGCGGTGGAACTTCCCCTAAATTTTTAGCTCCCTAGCTTTTGTGGTTCCCGAGTTGAAAGTTGCGGACAAGTTGCTGCGGACACACACACAC